ATGAAAGCTTTAAAGACAAAGCTCCAAAGAAATACAGTCTACAAATGAATAATTCATTTTAAGACGGGACAAGATACTGCTGAAAATGAAGCTCCACAGCAACACCGCACCCACATTAACCTTCCAGGGGACAACTAATCTTGTTCACGGACCAAATGAAGGGGAGCTACAGTTCACAGCAGAAGTGATAGCATGCACCAGAGATACAGCAACTGGCTCAGCAAGACTGAATGAAGAATTAAAGTTGAGTAAATTTTTGCCTGGGTAGGTACCAAAACTGTTGCACCCAGATTAGCTGCAGACCAGAGCAGAAGTTTCAGTGGACAGTTTTAAACAAAGGGATCAAAGACATGATGCGATTGTGAGAGGAGGTGAAATCTTGAGTATCAGTATAATCTTACAGGTGAATCACTTGCACAGCTCTGGCTATCAAGAGATGGAGGAAGTCCTGTCAAAGAGAGACCCATTAAGAGCAAAGTTCATGGAAACAGTTTTTCTGGAAGGCTTAAGGTCAGGGGTCAGCTAGCAAACAGGCCTCAATTGCTCTTATGTAAGCTCAGGATAAAGTGAATGAAAATTAAAAGCAGTCAACAGGAGAAAGAATATATCCCATAAGTATATCCTTGAGTATATCCCACCTGAATTCAAGAATATCTTTTAAAATTAGTATTACAAGATAAATTTTATTAGGGGGCTCTTACAACTCTTATTACAATCTATATATCAATTTTTCAGGCACAGTTGTACATACATTGCCATCATTATTTTCTAGACATTTATTTTCTACTTGAGCCTTTGGTATCAGCTCCTCTATTTTATCCCTCCCCCCACTACCCTTATGGTCCCTTGATAAATTACAAGAAGATCTTAAAAATAGATTTGAACCATTTAACATTAATGACAGAATATAGGACAAGCTGAGGGATGACACAAACATCAAAAGGTCACTAAAAATATAAGAAAAGATCACATAGCTCTGAAACTTGCTCATAAATAGAAAAGCTAAAGCAAATAGAATAAATGATGAAGTAAAAGAGCTGAACAGAAATTTCCAAAGGGCAGCTTGAGATGACAAAGTATTATAATAAAATGCATAAAGACAAGGAGTTAGAACGCCAAGAAGGAAGAAGATGCTCAGTGTATCTCAAACCAGAGAATACCAGAAAGATGTTTATTTGTGTTTTATTGACTATGCAAAGGCATCACCTATGTGGCTCATAACAAAGTATGAATAACATTGTGAAGAATGGACATTTAACTGTGTTCTCACCGAACCTGTACATAGATAGAGAGGCGGTTGCTCCAATGGGACAAGTGGATACTGCGATGCTTAAAATCAAGAAAGGTGAGCACCAACCAAGATTGTATCAGCTCACCATACTTGTTCAATCTGCATGCTGAGCAAACAATCCAAGAAGCTGTACTATATAAAGACAAATGCAGCATCAATATTAGAGGAGGTTTCATTAACAACTTGTGATATGCAGATAACACAATCTTGCTTCCTGAATGTCAAGAGGACTTGGAGCACTTGGTGATAAAAATGAAAGACTAGTCTTTTCAGTATAGATTGCAACCTAACATAAAGAAAACGAAACCCCTCACACTTCCACTAATAGATAACATATTGATAAATGGAGAAAAGGTTGAAGTTATCAAGGATTTAATTTTACTTGGATCTACAATCACTACTCATGGAACCAACAGTCATGAAATCAGAAAACATTGCATTTGGTAAATCTATCGCAGGAGATGTATTTACAGTGTTAAAGAGCAGAGATGTTCCCATGCCATAGTGTTTTCAATCACCATAAATGCATGTGACAGTCGGACAATGAATAAGGAAGCTCACAGAAGAATTGGTGCATTTATGGTACTGTTGAAATGTGGCCAGAAAAAAAAAAAAGAAATGTGGCCTGCCAAAAGATCAAACGTGTCTGTCTTGGAAGAAGTACTGTCAGAATGTTCCTTAGAAGGGAGGATGGCAAGCTTTTGTCTCCTGCACTTTGGACAAGTCATCAGGTTAGGCCAGTCACTGGAAAAGGTCATCATGCTTGGTAGAGGATGATCAAAAAGGAGGGATATCTTTAAGGAGATAGGCTGACGCAGAGGCTACAACAATGGGCTGAAACATAACAACAACTGTTTGGGTGGAACAGTACAGCGCGGTGTTTCCTTTTGTTGCACACAAGGCCATTCTACATCATGAACAACCTAACAACAACGTAAGGTTATGTTCTGGATGTTCTGGATCATATTTATGCTTATGGTGGTAATACAGAACCTCGGAGATTATCAACCTCAGTCAGTGGTTCTCAACCTAGAGCGTATTATATTGTTATCCTGATATTTGCTCAACAAAATCCTCTTCTATACAAATGAGAATCATGACATGAGATGAGAAATGTTACTTTGGAGAATTGGATGCATATGTAAATGTGGTAGGAAAAATACTTATTTTAATTATATAATGTATATTTAATAAGGCTGTTTAATGTAGCCTAACATTTCATAAACCCTTGAGTCGCAAAAATAACCCAAACCAAAATATTAGAAAAATTATCACCCACACTAGTTACCCCTGCGTCATCTCTGATAGACAGGGACTCCCTGTGTTCTGGAGGGTGTCCAGGGGCTCAGGTCACCAGGTCTCTCTCTCAAGACATCTCCGGGTGGACTCACAACTCCAACCTTCGAGAGCCCCCACATAACACAAAATGGACTTAAGTTTTTATTTTCTGTGGGGTCTCTGAAGAGCAAGCTATAAGCCTATTAACCTATTTGAGACTGTTCCATTATTACAAATATTATGTTTCATTTGTCTTAAATTTGCATAACTTAAGGAATGCAAGTTTATCCCCATGTCTTAAGGATTATCCAGATACTCACAAAGCACTCAGCAGCATCATCCATAAGGCCGAGCTGAAATCGCTGCTCATCTCTGAAGCTTTCTGCAAGAGCATGCCTTATATTATCGGAGGGAAGTGCTTTTTCTCGACTGTGTTGAAACTGTGCAAATATTGTCTGTAAATCACCAATTACATCAGTAAGTCTAATACCAAGAACTCTTGAAAACTTAAACGATTTCATTATAAGACAGGGAAATAATATACTCATTCTAAGAAACTAATGGAAAAGTATTTTGCTCTACAATTGCATAAAAATTACTTGTATCAATAAATGTTGAAATGGGTGTAACAGCATCTAAATTACTGGAAGCTTAACATAATTAACATAATATATTAACATTAATTAATGTATCAAAATAGTTAGCATAAACATTATTATGCACACTAGGAAATTCTGATTTATACTAATGTATTCTGATTTACATGGCCTTCATTTAAAAATTCCAATACAGGCAGCAGATCATGGACTTTTGAGAAAAAGCTGCTTTAAATCTAAAAATAATACTATGAGAGGTAAAATTATGTTAACTCAAAAACATATATGATCACATAAAAGTTAGTATGAACTAATCATAAAAACAAAAACACTCGAAAGTAGCCTATAGGGAGCGCCGGTGGCGTCGTGTTTATGAGCTGGGCTGCTAAGTGCAAAACCAGTAGCTGCTCCGAGGGAGAAAGATGGGCTTTCTACTCCCGTAAAGAGTACAGCCTCGAAACCCAGAGGGGCAGCTCGACTTTCCTCGTCGTCAACTACGAGCCCACACCGACTGAATGGCAGTGACAAAGTAGCTTATGAATGAATTTTTAAAAAAAAACGTTGTTTTTCTACTACAGTCTTAAGTCTTAAAAACTGATAAACTCTGAGTTAAAATATAAAAATCAGACAACTTTGATAAAATGGCAAATTTCTGCCTACTGTATTGTTTCAGAAAGATGAAAATATACATTTTTAAGAAGAATCAGAGAAAAGATCATTCCTTTTCATTTGTTAAGAAAGCATTTTGATGGTATCTGCTTGAAATAATCTCAGTTCTCTAAATGAGGAAAAGCATTCCCTGCATAACGAGTAACAATGAAAAGTTCACAGATGGGCTATGCCTCGGAGAAAGCCTAGGGAAGCTAGTCTGTGTGGGAGGGGCTGGGGGCTACATGGGGGGAGGTGGTGGGAATGGCTATGAACATTTTGAGCTAAGAAAGGGAACTACATAAATTTCTACAATGGCGCAGTCACAATTTACTATAGAGTAAATAAAACATAATACTATAATTTGATTTAATTCATCTTTCAACCCATAACAATTCTTGTAATAGATTTTGCTATGTTCTAAAATTTAGGATATAACATTACTTCCTTTGGTGATTTATTCCAACAATCCTTTCAAAATTATAAGGACATTAAGGCATGTAAATAATTGTGCCCCTGTATGTATTTAAATTCTGAGTATTGAGGAACATTTACCTTAAATTAAATTATATTAAATTCTTAATCTCATGTGATCTTAAAAGTTTTATCTAGTGTACAAATTCCTGAGCAAAGAGTTCAGTGACATCAATAAGTTGGGCTAACATCTACTAGACTCCCCGATCCTCCCCTCTTAGGATTCCCGTCATTTATTTCAAACAGAGCCGTCCGGGAGACTAGAGTGGCACACTCAAAACAATCTCATGGCATCCCGATTTACCCAGAAAAAGTCAAGGTCTTCACAACCTCTTCAGTTATTTACTGCTGCCCCAGCAGGCATCATGTGAGACAGCTTTAGGTCTTAAATTACCCAATTACTCTGATTTATGACAGGCAGTTGATGCTGGAATCTATGTATAGCCCTTTTGTGTGGCTGTTGGTTTCTCTACAGTCTGAAGGGAAAAGAGGTGACTCGTGTCCAGGAGTTAAGTAAAAGCTGTATAATAATCCTCACTTGTCCTAACCTATGTCAACATCAACATGTTTCAAAGCATGATTTCTGCTCCATATACTTGTTCTATGAATACTGATTGTGGATCCAAACAAGATGAAACCCCTGACAATGTCAATCTTTCTCCGTTTATCATGATGTCACGTATTGGTCCAATTGTGAAGAATTCTGGTTTCTTCACCTTGAGTTGTAGTCTAAATTGAAGGTTGTAATTCTTCTTTATTTTTTAAACAGATTTATGGCACTTCATCCAGATATCATACAATTCAATAGCTCAATCATATCAAGAAGAGTTGTACACTCATTACCATAATTAATTTTAGGACATTTTCTTTTTCCTTGTACTCATTGTCATTAGTGTAATATTTATTTTTTTAACTGTGGCAAAAATATGAAGGCTGCAGTCTTGATCTTCATCAGCAAGTGTTTCAAGTCTTCTTTCAGCAAGCAAGGTGGTGCCATCTGTATATCACAGCTTGGTAAACCTTCCTGCAGTCCTGATGTCGCATTCTTCGTCATATAAACCAGATTCTCTGATAATCTGTTCAGCATACAGATTGCTGATATATGCCTTTCCTGAGATTTAAACCATGCAGTACTTCCTTGTTCTTTTCTTGATCACACAACTATCTCTTGATCAATGTACAAGTTCTGCATGCATACAATGAAGTGTTCTTAGAATTCCCATTCTTCTCAAGGATCATAATTTGTCATGATCCACATAGTCAGAGGGCTTTGCACAGTCAGTAAAACATGTGGAAACATCTTTCTGTCCAAGGAAGCAGTAGTCAAGAGATCAAACAATGCATTGCATAGGAAAATCTGCTGCTTAAGACCCCTTGAAAGTGTTTAAGAACAAAGATGTCAGTGTGAGGACTAAGGTGTGTTTAACCCATGCCACAGTATTTTCACTAGCTTCATATGCATGTGAAAATTGGATACTGAATAATGAAAACTGTGATAGGTAGGTTTGTTGTGCCAATCTGGCTAATAAGAACATGTGGGATTAATAAGGTCACAGTTTGATGGAGGGCAAAGAGATAAATGGCTCGGTGAGCCCTGCCTCTCTCTCTCTTGCTCTCTGGTGATCGAACCAGCCTGTGGCTGCCTTAGCTACTTCTCTACCTCAATTTGTGAGCTACATTAATGGTGGGGCACCCAACCCGTGGATTGTGTAGCTAGAACTTGAGATTCCTTTGAGATCTGCTTTGCCACACTGCTGGTATATATATCGCTTGAGCTTGGGACGGTCAGATCCTGTCATCTGGCTGACTGTTGGTGACCTGCCCTGCTGTTTGCTGCCTGTGGCCGGACTGCCTGCATTGCTCTACAGAAGACTCAGCTGTCTGCTACCTTGACCTTGGACCCAGCAGCCCTCGTGAGTTAAAGGACTTCCACTATATTAACTGTTCCATGGAAGTGAGTTGAACTGAGCCCTCTGTACTGGACTAGTTAGCTGTTATATTCCTTCATGCTGTCTACACTCTTATATATACATAAAATCATAAGTGTCCTAGTTTCGTTTCTCTAGCGAACTCTGTCTAACACAAAACCCAAAGAAGAATCAATGCATTTGAATTATAGTGCTGGCAATGAATTTTGGAAATACCATGGAATGTTGAAAGAACAAAGAAATCTGTCTTGGAAGAGATGCATCCAGAATGCTCCTTAGAAACAATGTTGGTGACATTTTATGTCACGTATTTTGGAAATGTTGTCAGGAAAGACCAGTCCTTGGTAAAACAGAGGAGCGGGGTGGGGGAAAGTGGAAAATCCTCAACAAGATGAACTGACCCAGTGCCTGCAACAATGGGCTTAAACATAACAATTGTGAGGATGGTGCAGTGTTTCCTTCTGTTGTACACAGGATCACTATGGGTCAGAATCCACTCAACGGAATCTAACAATATACTTACTGGAAGTCATGAAGGCTGGGCCCTGTTCAAAAGGAGCAATAGATTCCTTTTTATAGGAAGAGTACAGAGAGTTTGTCGACTTGTTATAAAGACACTACAAATGCTCTTAACCTCTCTGACCTCCTTGCTGGCCACCATGCTTCTGTCACCCATGATTCCTCAGAGTTCCTTGAAAATATCTTGCACCCTACTACCTTTGGGGCCTTTGTATCTGATGTTCCCGGCTGCCGAGAACCTTGCCTTATGGTTCTCTCACTTGCTGACATCAAGTTGATTCTGACTCATAACTACCCTATAGTTCACAACAAACATCTTTTTCCAGTCTTTACTCAAATGGCATTTCCTCAATGAGGCTTCCCCTACCACTCAACACTCCTTCCTTCTTTGAATTTATTTTTCTTCCTTAGCACTTAGTGCCATGTAATATACTACACATTTTGCATACTATCTCCTCCCCTATAAGAATATAAGTTGTGAGATCAGGGGTTCTTAGCACTTGTGTTCATTATTTTTACAGCAATGCTATCTTCTCAGTGACTGCAGCAACACCCAGAGTGTAGTAGGAACTCCGTAAACATTTACTGAATGAATACAGAACCGATTACAAGGATCTCCATGTGACCTCCTCCTTGGGGGACGGACAACAGAAAAGTGGGTGAAGGGAGATGTCAGACAGGGCAAGATATGACAAAATAATAATTTATAAATTATCAGGGGTTCATGAGGGAGAGGGGAGCGGGGAGGGAGGGGAAAAAATGAGGACCTGATGCCAGGGGCTTAAGTGGAGAGCAAATGTTTTGAGAATGATGAGGGCAGTGAATGTACAAATGTGCTTTACACAATTGATGTATATATAGATCGTGATAAGAGTTGTATGAAAAAAAAAGAGTTGTATGAGCCCCTAATAAAATGATTTAAAAAAAAGAACTATTTCAAATTAATAAAAAATGTAATATTTCTAACAATTCTGTACTATTTACTACATTAATTTAACTACTCTTATGTAACAACAGAAAACAAAAACATAACCATGAATAAACCTCTTTAAGAACTAATCTTCAAAATTATAGACCACTGGTTAATAAATCTTATTTACAAGTAAATGGACCAACTGTATTAAAAATTAGGTTAAATGAAAGTTTTGGAGAAACACTTGATAGTATTTGTTCACAATTATTAATAAGTTACCTTCAGTGCACAAAATATGCAGGCATCTCCCTGACACACATGTCCAGTTAAAATCCGCAAGCTTCGTCGGAATATGTCCAATTGCCATAGAACCTAAGAAAGAGTGATGTGGAAAGAAATTAGAAACACAGTAAAACTTTTTCTTACTGTGAAAAAATAATTAGATTTAGATATTTTAAAAATCCAGGAAGGTGAGTCAATAACTTCCTTTATTCATTTGTTTAGTCAGACATATACCACAAGTAAATGCAATAGCGTGGAACTTTGGCAGCACAGGGTTTAGGGTCACTGCTAATCTATAGCTTGCAGTTTAACCATCCACAGGCTCAACGGAAGAAAAGGCCTGGCAAACACTGCCTATGTAAAGATTATAGCCAAAAAAGGTTAAAGTCCCATGGAGCAGTTCTACTGTGTAACATGGGGCTCAACATGACAGCAATTAACAACCACAATAATAGCAAGTATAAAACTAACTGATTATCTATCTATCTATCTATCTATCTATCTATCTATATATATATATATCATGGTATATAGTGATATAGTGATGGCTACAAGATGTTCTTGTTGATTCATATCTAAAACCCAGGACAGGGATAAAGCAGAAAAATGCTGACTACTCAACTTCTTATCCTATCATGGAAATGATATGAATAGGAAACATGAGATACTAAATAAAGGACTTGGCAGAGCCATAAGAGAGGAAATGATCATACATACCGGGAACAAAGTGAAATTTAGGAAGGAAATATAATTGGAGTTTAAAACCAGAGTATACTCAACAGCGGGCTGGTGGGTCAATGTGTGCGGCAAGAATGAAGGGTGTCGTCAGTGTATATGAAATGAGACGGAAGGCACATGACTGCAGGTGATAATGATAGCACATAAAGGTAAAAACCACTACACAATAGCATACTGCTTTTATCTTCTATTAAAAGACAGAAACAAAAAAGACAAATTGCTGATATGACTCTGTACTGTATTAAGGATCTGTACAATGGAGATAATGAGACTGCCTATCTCATTGGAACCAGTTACTGTCAAGCTGATTCTGACTCACAGTGACCCACTACATATACAGACTATATTCTATCCCTTGTTTCAGGAAATTCAAGTCTAAGCTAGTCTTAACACTAATTAATTTTTATCAATGTTTATTTCTCCTTTAAATTCTTGCATGTAGCATTTTAACATAGTGTCTAACAAAATGAATGGAGCTATTTTTGAATGTTTACATGGTTCTTATTGAATTACTCCCTGAAGCACAATATAATGTATAGACTTATATTTAGTAACAACATACTTCTTATCAAATCCATTACTTTTTAAGTACGTTTTAAATGAATAAGAAAGGGTTAGTAGATTTAATTTGACCTATGTTAGGTGCCCTAGTGGGTGCAGTGACTATGCATTGGGCTGTGATCTGCATGGTTAGCAGTTCAAAACCACCAGTAGCTCTGTGGACAAAAGACAAGGCTTTCTATTCCCATAAACAGTTAGTCTCAGAAACCCACAGAGGGTCACTATGAGTCAGCACTGACTCAATGGTAGTGAGAGTAGATCCATACCTTTTAAATGCTTGCTTTCAATAATTTCTTACAAGATGTATTGACAATGGGTCCCTTTAATTGCCATTTCTTAGGCAACAAAGAGAGATCTTTTGGAAGCAGGAGCAAAGAGCATTTCCAGAACAATCAGGGAAGAAAAGCCCACAGTGGCATGTTTGAGATCCCTGCCTAAAACAGCAGCGGCCGAGACCAGAGGCACCAGAGGCTGCAGCACTGAAGCCATGGGACAAAGTAAAGGAGCCATGTCCATGACAGAACAGAAGGGCTGTAGCCGAGATCTGTGGCCTGAGATACTGAGCTGGAGCAGAAGGTGGGATTCCTGGTTCCCCGAGGCCAGGGTACCATGTGGCCTAGTGTCTGAGGACCAGAGAGAGAGACATGGCTGTAGGCTGAGGAGATGTGCTGCTGTGGACCAATGACTGTATCTTCATTAATGCGTTCTTATCTAGATTTGGGAAGCCTGTTAACTTCCTTAGTAACGTCCCATAATGCTGAGTATTATCTTAAGAGTCCTGAGAGGCCACATCCTGGGAGGAATGGTTGATATCAGAATATGATTTTTTTTTTAAAAAAGGGGGATAGAGGGTGGAGGCATGTCTGACCTCTGCCTCAAGGCAGCAGGCCTGGGGCTGTGTAGCCAGAGGAAGTCAGATGTGGTCTCTTTGCTGTTTTTGCAGATGCTGATGGGCTAGAGTTCAGAAATGTGCACTGAAAGAGATAACAACCAGCAATTTACAGAAAGTCCCTCTTGCATATTCAGGTGGTTACTGAGGAGTACATGCTTGTGAGGCTACAGAAAAAAATACCCAAGGGAATCTTAGGAAGCAGTGCCCCAAACTGACACTGGCCTGGACTGGGGCTTGTTTCTAACAACCATGGCAGAAAATGTTACAATTCACAGGGCATTGACTAGGGGGAAAAAAAAAGGTCTTCTCTGGAAAAATCAACCTAGCATAAACAAAGCTTGCATGTACAATGATCTAACTCTTTCCAAGTATATTAATGCTATCCTAAAACAAAGCTCAAGAATACTTACAGGAATATAAAAATATCCATAATCCAACAAAGTATAATTTGATAGTCACGCAAAACGATGAAAAACTATAATGCAAAGTTAAGGGAGAAAATAATCAACCAACTGAAAAACACGCAAAATTCATACAAATAATAGATTGGACATTTAGAGTAAAACAATTATAACCGTGTTTATTATGTTCAAAGAGCTAGTGGAACTACTGAGCATGTGAAGTATAAAGAAAAAGAATGTTTAAAGATGCCAATGATGCTTCCACAGGTGAATACTACAGTATCTGAGATGATAAATACACTGAGTGGGATTAGCAGCAGGTGAAGCATTTAAAAAAGAAAAAAAATCAGTGAATTTGAAATCATAGCAATAGAGGTTATGAAATGAAACACATAAAGAAGATTGAAAAAGAAAACAGAGCATCCATGAGCTCTGAACAAACTTCAAACAACCAATAATATATGTAGCTAGAGTTCCTAAATGAGAGGAGAGACAGAAAAAATATTTAAAGAAATAGTTTAAATTTTTCCAAATCTGATTAAATTACTAATTTGTAGCTTCAAGAAGTTCAACAAACCTCAAGCTTATTAAATAAAGGGAAAATTGTGTGAAGGTACACTATAATCAAATTGGCTTTAAATCCTCAAAGCAAGTAGAAAACACACACACACACATTAAATATAGAGGATCGAATAGAAGAATGATCGATTTCTTATCAGGAATAATGCACGCTAGAAGATAGTGAAGCAAAACTGTTAACCAAGAATTCTTTGTGAAAATATTTTTCCAAAAAATGAAAGATAGTTTTTCAAAGAGAAGTTTAAAGAATGTATCCACTGCAAACACGTGTACTATAAGGAATAGTAAAGGAAATTCTTCAAGCAGAGGGTAAATGACATCAGAATTTTACAAAGGGGAAGAACAGGTAAGATTAAATAAAAAATGACTAGAGGGCAAAAACACAGGAGTGTAAAGAAGAACTGAGATTCCACGGAAATATCTGCCACGATGGAAGCCCTTTTCCTCAGAGCCTGACCAAGTGCTTAATTTCAGGTCTTTTGATGTCTGGCACTCCCCCACCCAGTGCTGTACAGGAACAGTGCCTGCACGTCTCACAGTGCTGAATGGCAGCAGACTTTGAGACAAGACAGAACAGTGAACATCACCGATGATCTCAAGGTCAGATGGTATCAAGGCTTTTCTTTTTTCTTTTTAAATCATTTTATTAGGGGCTCATATAACTCTTATCACAATCCATACACACATCAATTGTGTAAAGCACATCTGTACATTCATTACCCTCATCATTCTCAAAACACTTGCTCTCTACTTAAGCCCCTGGTCTTCCCTTAGGTGACTTAAGGAACCTCCAGGTTGACATCTGTCCCAGGTAGAGGGCAATTAGGAATAAAGGTCTGCGTCCTTGACAAAGTCTAGATTTGTGGGTTTATCAAATGGACTAACTTTGGACTAACTTGGAAAAGTCACAAGGTCAATTTAACTCACTAATCTCTCTCTCCACTCTCAGCTTTAAGTGAAGAAAACATTAATAGCAAGGAGGCATGTAAAATAAAATTAAGATATAATCTAGGATCGACAGAAAAATGCAATTATTTTAAATCTTCTTCATCTTTAGTGCAATACAGTCAATGATCAGAAGTACTAAAACAAATTCAAACTAAACTAAACTAAACTCACTGCCACTGAGTAAATTCAGACTCATAAAAATCCTATAGAATAGGGTAGAATTGTCCCTTTGGCTTTCCAAGACTGTAACTCTTTACTGGAGTGAAAAACTTCCTCCTTCTTTCATGGATTATAAAAATAAATAATAATAACCTTGCTATGAGTAAGAGATCCTACAAAATCTGGAACTACTGAATAAAAACAATATTATACATACAAAAAGGATATTTATAAGTTAGAAAAGTAGTTAAGACATGATTGTTAAAGAATTGTAAAAGTACTGAAACAAAATATATCAAATTTCAACTTAATGAAAGTATGATTGTCCAAGTTATGATTCCATAGTGATTTAAAGTTGAAAATGGGGGATGGAGAGAGAAGGTGAGTTTGAGAAGTGAGAAAGTGAAAAACGTCCACATTCTCATTTCAACTCAAGCAACTTGCTTCTTTTTACTTTATTGGAAGTCTGTCCTGGAGTTCTTGTGAGAACAAAAGGGAGGGGTAGGTTAACGGAAGAGTTCGGTGACACAAAGACTTAATTTACTTTGCTGCTAAGCAAAAGGTTGGGGTTCAAGTCTATACAGACAACTTGGAAGTTGTCTGGTGCTGGGCTTACTTCTGAGAAATCCACAACTGAAAATCTTTTGGAGTACAGTTTAATTCTGACACACATGGTACTGACATGAGAAGGATTCAAGAAGGGCAGTTTTTTTTTCTTTTTTTTCAGATTAGCTAATTTTAAAGACATAATACATGTATGCAATGCATGTTTGTTCTTAGGCGCCATCGAGTCTGTTCAGATTGAGAGCGACACTATGTGAAACAGAGTAAAACACTGCCTGGTCCAGCACCATCCTCACAAGTGCTCTTTATGTTTGAGCCCACCCTTGAAGCTACAGACTGCATCAATCCATCTCACTAAGGTCCTTCTTTTTCCTCTGACTCTCTACTTCAGAGGTTCTCAACTTCCTAATGCCACAACCCTTTATTTAATACAGTCCTCATGTTGTAGTGACTCCCAACCATCAAATTATTTTCATTGCTACTTCAAACTGTAATTTTGCTACTGTCATGAATCAGGCAACCCCTGTGAAAGGATTGATTGACCCCCAAAAGGGTCGCAACCACAAGTTGAGAACCGCTGCTATACTTGATCAAGCATGATGTCCTCCCAGGGCCTCATCTCCTTGATAACATATCCAAAGTACATAATTTGAAGTCTCATACATAATAATTATCAATGCATCTTGCATCTAGTCCAGTTAATTTCTGACTAAAGACATTGGTAGAATAATTTCTTCATTATTAGCTTTAGTTGTTGTTACATGATAGCTGATTTCTTTGAATAAGGATAGATATAATCCCATCACAGACACCATTGTACTTCAAGCTAGATCTTGAAATGGACGTTTTGACAATAAAGGAGAAGCCATTTCTCTTGATTGTGTCATTCCCAGCAGAGTAAACCGTATGATCTTCTGCTTCAAAATGGTCAATACCAATTCACTTCAGTTCACTAATGCCTAGGATATTGATGTTTATGTATTACATTTCATTTTTTTGGTGACTTCTAATTATCCTAGAAGCAGACTTTGTTTATTCTGTGTATGTGTGTGTACATAAATATATATGCCAATCCTCTATGATTTTATAATTCAATAGTCCAGTGTAATTATTATGATAAACTCCAACTCCAAACTTACTGCTGAGTCAATTTTGACTCATAGGGATCCTATAGAGCAGGGTAGAACTCTGAGTTTCTGAGACTATAACTGGTTATAGGAATAAAAAACCTGTCTTTCTCCCAAGAAGCTGCTGGTGGTTTCAAACTATTGACCCTGTGGATCACAACCCAATGTGTAACCATCACACCACACCACAGGCTCCTGACTATTATGATAAAGATAAAATTAAATCAAGCTATGTATAAAAATGAATGTACTATAACTTAGTACACTTAAATTTTTGTGCAATGTTATAGTAATGGGGAAGGAGGCCTGCTGATGCTGTGGGCTAGGTGTTGGCTGCGAAGGGCAAAGTCAGTAATTCGTCCTCATCAGCCACTCCAAGGGAGAAAGATGAGGCCGTTTTCTCCCATAAAGATTTTGTACTGGAATCCCCAAGGGGCAATTCTATTCTGCCATACAGAGTTATGCTATAAATCTGAATCAACTCATAAAGGGATGATTATAATTTTTTCTGTAAAATTTGGTAAAAGGAAAACGGGCCTAACATTGCTACATTCTTTATTATTACATTAAAATAATATGCATTAATGAGCAGGGACATGGCAAATCAAATCATAAAACATTAGGAAAACCTTTTTCATATGAAACTGCTGTCTTCTAAATTTTGACCTAAATATGCTTCATAATGAAGTTAAAATTATGTTAGAATTTTACATGATACAATTATCTTTCTTATGTTCTAATACACCTTTGGCCTTTCTTTAGCCATCTACCTAGCAATTGCACATAGATATTCCCTAAAAAGCCAAGAATTGAGTCAAATTAATGTAAACACTACACGGAGAAACAATTTTAATAGCCTGTTGTAAGTTATTCAACTACTGAGCCATATATTTTTATTTATATAAAGTAATAAAATATGCAATCACAGGCCAGTGTAAAAGAAATCAAGATGTTAACAAATCCTATTCAGGGGATGCTAAAGGAAGGATGAGTATTTATATAATATTTACCAATATTTTATAATATATGCACACATTTTTACATTACTGATTATATTTTCTCAATTGTAGCTTTCATTATTGACAGGACTTCAAAATTTAATAAAACTACAAATTGAGTAATACTTGTATTGACACAAAATGCTCTAAGCATAACATGTCTTTGTATATTTTTAGAAGTATTTAAAATATGTATTCTTAATTTATCAAGTAAACACCTTAAGTCAAAATCATGTTTGTATCACAGAAACCTATCTTTCTGTTAAAAAGACCAGTTTCATTTATTATGGAAACTTAAAGGCCCAGTCAAAATATGATTACTACCATTAAAAATCATGTCTAAAGATCTTTTAAAAATGTAACAAGTTATTTTGGACTCACCTGTACAGCACTATTAAGAAAGCAGCTGTTCTGTCCTGGTTCATTCAGTAATCCTTTGGTAGGGGCCAGAGAGAGCACACTCCCAGGCTGGTAAACTTTTCCAAGATTGCCGGTAGGTTTTCGTAAGAATTTTACCCAGGGCATTTTCAAGCAAATTTATTTGCAAAAATCATGGAATTGTATCTTTATGTGATATTTCTGGTGATAAAATGGATGATATCTTGAACTGTCCACTTACAGTCAGTGCAATCTGTCAAGTCCATAGCTCTCCTGATGCTGTCAGTTGTGTTGTATTTATTAAGTAAAAATAAAATATATAAATGATAAGCGTGAAAGTTTAAAACACCGTTATATTAACCAAAGGCTTAAATGGTTTTGTGTTAAATTTTGTAGTTTAAGATGGATGATGTAAAAATGCTAAGAATAAACATCAATGAAAAATCAGCTTCCTTAAACCCATCTGTCTTGATGGATTAAAAAAATAGATGATACCAAAGATGTAGCGCTGGCATTTGGTATGATTCCTCTGGTCATTTTCTTTTCTTATTTATGCATTTATTTTTAATAAGAAAGAAGACTGTCCTTCCCAGGTGAGGGCTCAAAGGTGGTCCCACATTTCATATCAATCTGAAGTCAAAGCAAATCTACAAGAGAAAAAAGAAAAATTTAAATAACAGTAAAGATTAATCATGAAAATGTCTATTTTACTACCTAACCACAAATACTGAAAGTAGAATTAAAACTAACCATTAAAAGGATTAGAACTAATATACTTTCTAAAATATGAAAATTTAAAAACATTTCAAGTTCTAAAATTTTACAAAAATCTTATATAACATTATCTGCCTCAAACTTAGGAATCGACATTTGAATTTCTGTCCATTAAAACAAATAGATATCTGTTTCTTGTATATTGTATTCTGATCTTACAAGTAAAAGAAAGTTTCCTAAGAAAGTCAGTTGATTTTATATACATTGGCATGTAGAACAACTTTTAAGAAACATTTCCTTACTAAATCATAAGGTTTATCTCCATCTTATTCAAAATACATGTTCCTGTAAATATACCAACAAACATAATGAAAAATATCTATACTATAGAAGACAAAATAAGTACTGCAATCTACTAAATATACAATATTTATGCACATCAAAAGACTTCATCAAAAGAGTCAACAGGGAACCCACATATTGTGAAAAAATATTCAGTAATAATTCATCAGTTTAAGGGCTAGTCTCGAAAATCTATAGAAAACAACATCTTAAAAAAATATATAAATAACTGAATAAAAAAGGGCAAAATATAAGAATAGACAATGTATGAAAGAAGACATCCAAGTGGCCAACAACAACATATGAAGAAATGTTAAAATCATTGCAATAAAGAAATATAAATGTAAACAATAATGAGATATCATCTCACACAGACACTTTTAGAAAAATTCAAGAGAGATAAGAATGTGCTTACCTCGTTGGTAGGACTGTAGAATTGTATGACCACTACGGAAATCAGTATGGCACTTCCCTAAACAAATGTAATCCAAGTACCCCATGACCCAGCAATCTCTCTACTGGGGGATGCCCTAAAGAAATCAAGAATAGCCCTTTCCAGGCTGATGACCTCCCCATGTGATCACGCCTCTCACACAGGGTCTCCATCCTTCCCCAGAAGAGAAGAGGAAACACAAGAAGAAGTGCTTGGTGCAGAGCCCCACTTCCTACTTCACGATATTAAATCCCCAGGCTGCTATAAAAAATCACCACGGTCCTCAGCCATGCACAAACAGTCGTTTTGTGTGTTGGCTGCTCTACTGTCCTCTGTCAGCCCACAGGAGGAGAAGCAAGGCTCACAGAAGGATGCTCCTTCAGAAGGAAGCAGCACTAAGAGATCCTGAATCAGATGCGTGGGGAGCCATCCCAATAAACCCATTTTGGATACCAAAAAAAAAAAGAAATGAAGAATACAGGGTGAGCATACATATGCACACCTATGTCTGTTGCAGCAATTTCCACATTAGCAAAAACATGGTAACAACCAAAGCCCCAATTATAGGGGAATGGATGAACAAGCTCTGATACATTCATACTATGAAATATTATACATCAACAGAAAACAATGACAACTCTCTTAAACAATGTAAGACATGAGAAAAGCTAAAGAACATTATGCTTAGCAAACTCAAGTCAATATTAAAAAGATAAAGATTAATAACATTATTGTTATTAGGAAAAACAAAGAAAAAGAAACATCGTTTATATACCAACAGACAAGATTCTGATGAATACAAGGTGGCCAGGGGTGGGGACCAGAACAGAGAGAGAGGGACAGATACATTATTGAGGGGTAGTGGTGATGGAAGAATCAATATCTGGCGGGTTTAAAAGGATATTGTTGATTTCATTTATTGAGATGGCCCGTGTAAAGATATCTGGTATGCTTCTTTACCCCCCCACAAAAAAAATCCCTCTATATTCTTTATCCTTCAAACATAAATAGTGGTCTGAGTGGTTAAAAAAATGAGTAAAACTGAAATAGACTTGGAATCTTTAGTGACAAACAAATTCATCTCAAACAAACAAACAAACAAAACAATGCATAATCCTGGTTAAAGGAACATTAACTGTAGAACTTCTCAAGTATTACTAACAAATTTCCTTTTAATCAACTGAATTTCCTGCATCCATTCAAAAAAACATGTATTGGGTCTTATATTGTACCAGGTACTGGTACTAGAACTAACACTAAAATGAAAACAGGCCAACAGTAACACCATAAGTAGTAAATTATACAATATATATAAAGGATTATGCGTTATGGGCTAAGGGGTTAAAAAAAGGCAAGGAAGATGGATTGGCGTGCATATAATATGTATTATGTGATACATTTTGCAATTTTAAATAGGATAGCCAAAGAAAGTCTCATTGAGGTTGCATAATGATTTGAAAGAGATGGAAGAAATCTGGGAGAAAGCATTCCAAACACATAGCTGACAGTTAACTTTCGAGGTTGAAGCAGAGTATGTTGGTGGAATACTAAGAAGCCTAGTGAGGTAAGAGAAATGTGAGCAAAGCTGTGAACACGAGGGAGAGAAAATGAAAAGAAGGATAGAAAGATTGTGTAGGGATGTGCACACGCTGGATAAAATAGTAAGTCTGATACCTGGTCCCATCAACACCTCATGATCACAAAGGCTGGTGTGCTTCTTCCATGTGGGTTTTGTTGCTTCTCAGCTAGATGGCCGCTTGTTTATCTTCAAGCCTTTAAGACCCCAGATGCTCTATCTTTTGATAGCCGGGACCATCAGCTTTCTTCACCACATTTGTGTATGTACTCATTTTGATGGGATCAGGTATCAGGCATTAAAGATCCAGAACAAAAAGTCATATCAATGTGAATGAGGGGGAGTGCAGAGTGGTGACCCAAAGCCCATCTGTAGACAATTGGATGTCCCCTTATAGAAGTGTCACAAAGAAGAGATGAGCCAGTCAGGGTGCAGTATAGCACCAATGAAACATACAACTTTCCTCTAGTTCTTTAATGCTTCCGTTGCTCCCCTCTTCCCCACTACCATGACCTCAATTCTACCTCACAAATCCGGCTAGGCCAGAGCATGTACACGGGTACAGATAAGAACTGACAACACAGGGAATCCAAGACAGATAAACTCCTCAGGACCAATAATGAGAGCAGCAATACCAGGAGGGTAAGGGGAAGGTTGGGGGAGGAAGGGGGAATTGCTAACTATGATCTACATATAGCTCCTTCCCAGGGGAAGGACAACAGAAAAGTGGGTAAAGGGAAACAGCGATTGTTGTAGACATGAAAATTTTTTTAAATAAATTGTCAGGGGTTCATAAGGGAGGGGGAAGGATCAGGAGCTGATACCAAGGGCTCAAGTAGAAAGAAAATATTTAGGAAATGATGATGGCAACATATGTACAAATGTGCTTGACACAATGGATGGATGAATGGATTGTGATAAAAGCTGTTAGAGGCCCCAATAAAATTATTTTTAAAAAAGTGGGGGGGGAGTCACCGGAGTTTCATTTCCATGGCATAGAAATATGAGCGACAACATGGAGTAGGGCAGCTCAATATGACTGATCCACTACCCACTAACATGGGAGGTATTACAGAACAAAAAGGAGTAAGTCTCAGTACCTATGGAATTGAGGCCAAAAGACCATTTCCAGGGCCAGCCTTATCACTTCTTAGTCATTTAATCTTAAGTAAGTTCTTGCCATCTTCTATTCAGAGCTTCATCACATAGAAAATGAGAATGTAACAAAAATATTCCCGCTTACCTCATATTTGTTAAATGTCTCAGAAATTGTAAAACACTGTGTTATGCTAGTTGTAAGCATACTCCTTTTACCTTCCTCTGGTGCTGTGGGATGCAAAGGAGCCTGATGACATAGTGGTTATATGTTAGACTGCAAACAGAAATGTCAGCAGTTTGAAACCACCAGCCATGCCACAGGACAGAGACAAGGCTTTCTACTACTGTAAAGTGTTGTTGTCAGGGGCCATTGAGTTGGCGCCAACCCATAGAGACCCTGTGCACAACAGAATGAGACACTACATAGTCCCACACCATCCTCACAAGTGTTCCTATGCCTGAGCCCACTGATACAGTCACTGTGTCAATCCGTCTCGTTGAGGGCCTTCCTCTTTTTCACCACCCCTCCTCTTTTAACAAACATGATGTCCTTCTCCAGGGACCGGTCTCTCCTGACAACACATCCAAAGTATATAAGGCAAAGTCTTCCAACCTTACTTCCTGGCCTTACTTCTTCCAAATACAGATTGGTTTATCCTTTAAGCATTCCATGGTTCTATCAATATTCATCTCTAGTAGGACATCTCCAAATGCATCAATTCTTCGACAACCTTCCTTATTCCCTATTCAATGTCCAACTTTTATATGCATATAATGCAATAGAGAATACCAGGGCTTAGGTCAGGCGCACCTTAGTCCTCAAAATAACATCCCTAATTTTCAGTACTCTAAAGAGATCTTGTGCAGCAGGTTTACCTATTGTAATGCATCTTTTGATCTCTTGGCTGCTGCTTCTATGAGCACTGTGGATCCAACTAAGGCAAAATTCCTGAGAACTTCAGCTTTTGCTCCATTTATTGTGACATTACCTATTGGTCCAGTTGTGAGGATTTCAGTCTTCCTTACTTGGGCTGCAATCCTTGCTCTTCATCAGCAAGTGCTTCCATAACTCCCCACTTTTCAGTAAAGCAAGGTTGTGTCATCTGCAGCAGGTTGTTAATAAGCCTCCCTTCAATCCTGATGCAGCATTCTTCATATAATCTAGCTTCTCTGATTTGCTCAGCATAGATTGAACAAGTATGGTGAGAGGATAACTCTGACGCACACTTTTCCTGATTGTAAACCATGAAGTAGTCCCTTGTTCTTTTCACACAACTGCCTCGTGATCCATGTACAAGTTCCGAATGAGCACAATGAAGTATTCCAGAATTCCCATTCCTCTCAAGGTTGTCCAGTGTTATGATCCACACAATCAAATGACTTTGCTGAGTCAATTAAACAAAAACATTTTTCTCGTCTTCTCTGCATTCAGCCAAGATCCATCTAACATCAGCAATAGTATCTCTCATTCCTTGTCCTCTTCT